GAGGTTGTGCCAGTGAGCGAGTGTACCAGTCTTCAGGAGCCTGGTTGGGCTCTGAGACAGTTTGTGACCTAATAGGTGGAAGAGACGTTGTGAGTCCCTATACAGTTTCTGTGTCCTCGATGGTGAGGCAGAGCTACCAGAGTCAATTACAGTCGAATCACCATTGACTGAGGGGAGCATCAACATAGGAACTCTGATAAGTGACAGTTTTGTTTCGGTATCATGCTCTATTCCCCACAGCTCCACTGTTTCCGCTGATGAATTGATGTACTGTTCAAGATCATCTGGCTGCTTCAATATCTGAGTCGTAGCTCTGAGTCCTGATCCTAGAAACATTCTGGAACATTAATCCTTTATTTGTGTAAATAATTGGCACTTATTACATACATTCATTTTCATGGCTGACTTAGGTGTCTCTATTTCACCTAAGTGTTTAGCATTGATGTGTGTATGAATAATAAGTGTTATATGTGTTAACATGGTTATGATAGTAGACTATCATAACCTGGGAGGCTATCTTTTTATAGTAGTGGGGATGTCCAGCCAAGTGTGCCTAGGAATATTATATATATATATATATATATATATATATATATATATATATATATATATATATATATATATATATATATTGTAGTGCCAAAACTTGAGTTGCCCTACTCCAGAAATAAGTTGAGCGTATATTGGCCACGGGGCATCCCTTAGACCAAAACGAGCCAAACGACTCAACATAGTTATTTCTGAGTGCTGTTGGTTCTTAAGGAGAAATCCTTAAATCAGGCACGTGACATGAGTGATATGTGACACCCACACGCCTTCAAAGAGTGCCCCCTGGCAAAAGCTGACCCAGATTTCAGGAAGCCTAACCCCAGCCGAAAGTGTTCCAACTGCTCAGGGGGACAGGGCGCCAGGTACCTTGGATGCCCATACCTAAAGGGCATCAAGAGAGGAATGACCACTACCGTCACCAGGAACGCTCCGCCAGCAGACAGGAAGAGGAACGAAGCACCCAGAATAGCCCAACCTTCATTCGCTGCAGCAGAAACAACCAAGCTACAGAACCAAATAGCGCAAATGAAAACCTAAATTGAAATGCTCAGAAGGGAAAAAGCAACATCCAAAGTCAAGCGAGCCGAGGAAACAGATGAGATGACAGGATTACGAGCCTAATCCCAGACTTACTCAAGACCCAGAAACGCATGGAGACTGAAATCGCTGACATGACTCAATTTAAGTCAGACATCAGAGCTGTGCTGTCCTGTATCCAGTCCCTAAACGAGAAGACAACCGAGGAAAAGCAGAACAACTACAAAGCAATCAGCGTAAGCCAGGAACTACTCACGACTGAGGTAAAACTACTCAAAGAGGCCAACCAAAAACTGCAAACAGAAATGACCAAGACAAGAAACACCATCGAGGAGATCCACATCGCAGCCGTCAACTCAATGCCAAAATCAAGTTAATGCAACAGCCAGTGAGACAGTCTAGAAAACGACAACCAAAAAGGAAATCTGCGAGGCCGACCTTCAGGCGATGCTTGAAGACTTCAACAAGCAAGTGGACCCGCACAAGCTAGTATTTTAGGACGAAAGCAAGCGCTACTTTATCGAATACAAATTGGAAGAGCTCGATAAGAAAGAACGAACACCGGAAGAAATAGAAAAGCACGAAAAAATCAACAAATTGTATGACGAACTAAACGCAACCCTGATCCAATTTCGCGCGCAAAAAAAAAAAAGCAGTGAAAAAATGGCACACCCAATATAAGAGGCAACCGCCCATTCTAAAAAGCCACTTAAAAAGCCAACCAAACAAGCCGCCATCTTCATGGACAGCCCAAACAACAACCGCCAAGCAGATAGACAGCCACGATATGACCCCGCCCATCCCGTTCCAGGCCGCCCCAGGCATTTGACAGCCTTTCTTAAGACTGCCCCCCATCCACTCCCAAAAAACCGGACTACACCAGCCAAGCCCGATCAAGCAAACAGAAGGCAGCAGCAAACGCTCGAACTTAGGCGAAAATGATCGCCGCAAGGAAACAAACCTAAATCAAACAGCAAAGAAACTGTCCTGAATAAAGCAGGCCAGCAGGCAGCTCAAAGATGACCAAATTTGAAATTTTTGTTTTATTTATCCAGTTTCCAATTTCAGCCGGACATTGTAAAAAGAACCGTTACATTTATTAAGCACACGCTCATTCAAACACTTTGCACCCACACACATGAACACTTATATAATATCATGCAGTAGATACATCGCAGAACCTCAGTCTTGCAGTGGTGCGCTATATAATTATCTTGGTCCCTTGCCAATGTTCCATGAACTCTCATACACAAGCTGTTCTTGCGATTGCACGCCCTTCTCAAGACGCTGCCTTTCCTGTCTGAGTCATGTTTTCCATCACAGTTCTTTCGAAACCATTAAAACTATTGAGGTGATTGAAGTATTTTCTGAAATGATATTTTCGTTGCGTCTTTCGCCTTTAGTCGGCTCGCTGACTAAGTCGATGCGAACGCTTCGTAATGCCGGGATGCCGGGTTCGATCCCAGCTGCGGCCCATGCGCCTTGCGTTAGTTTCGACAGTGGTATCAAGAAAGCTGACCGTCCAGAAAGCAATGGCAAACTACTAAATTTGCCTAGAAAAAACACAAAACAGCCAGGGGCTGTTGGGGTTGGTTCTGTCACGTTCTGTAAAGGTTACGCAACAAACCTAACCTTTCACCTGCACCATTCAAATGCCGAACAATCCATGAATAACAGAGATAAAATACAGCTGGAAAAATGCAAGTTCCGAGATGTTTGAATGAAGCAGTTTCCAGTATTGCACCACATACTCTACCTGCTTTTAAAGCAATCGTTGTGTTCGTAATTATGCAAAACAAGATATTCAAATATTGTAACGTCTCGATGTCCTCAGTGTTATTTTGATATTGTGGTATCAAAAAAAATGTTTGCCCATTTCTTTATTTTAGCTGGTGTGTGTGTATTTAGGGGTTGTGTGTGTGTGTGCGCGCGCGCGTGTGTGTGTGTGTGTTTTAGGTATCCTGATTCAAACAATTTTTTTTTCATTGTCACTGTCTGTCTCGCCGGACTGGGTAGCTGTTCTACTCCCGTCGCACTTTTTGAGAAAAGAAAAGAGAAACACACAAAAAAGGGACACTCTTCTGGTTTCTCACTATACACGCGCTCGCATATATGCATACAAACACACATGTATGTACACAGGCTTGTGAGCGCGCTTGTTACAAACACAAATAACGCAGTGTGTACTCATATGTGTTTCGCGTCTGGGACATATTTCCCAAGCCACTTACCAGAGTCACTCGAGCTGGATTTACTTGTAGGGGCTTGATTTTCATCGCCGAACTCGTTCACCAGCAGACTCTTTCGCTGCTTTAGTTTTGGGTCCACGCTGCTCTGTCTTCTATTGGCACTCTCATTTGTATCTACTTGGGCTGGTGCAGGGTCTGGACTATCGATAGCAATCTCTTGCTGCTTAAAACTGGCAACAGATTCTTGCTGTGCGACACTGGCTACAGGTTTTAGCTGCCCAGTATTAGCTACAGGATCTAGCTGTCCAGCATTGGCTACAGGATCTAGCTGTCCAGCATTTGCTGCATGTTCTTGTAGATTATGCATGTTGACGGCTCGTTGTAGTGACTCCTTCAAGTGCTGCTTTTTGTCTTCACTGTCAACTGTGTATTTCGGAGGCGGTGTAATTCTGTATGTTAAATTGTTAAACAGTATTTTAACAAATATTATGTCGGTGATAATAATAATAATAACAGTATAATTCATTATTATATTACATCATCATCATCCCGTAACACTACTTGTCTTTGGGTCACCAGATTTTGTTTACTGTCTGATCAGCTCTCTCCATCTTTGGCGGTCAGTTGCATGGATTTCATGGTTGCATGCCTGAGGCCTGTCCAGTCAGTCAGGTTCTGTAACCAGGTCTTTCTTGGTCTGAGCTCTGCAGTATTGTTTTTGAGAGATTGTTAGATCTTATTACATGTCCATACCATAACATGACGCACCTTACTGTTGACAATCATATTACAGTTAACGATATTCTGTGAACTCATAGATTAGCTGCTGCTCTTCCTTTGAGCGGTGAACTACTTTACTATAGAGCGTATTTGGTGAAGACTCTCTGGGATTAATTTGAGGGTGCATTAAACCAAAGAATCCTACACTGGGAGACTAATTCAACGTGGATTCGCTGGAGGTTCTGGGAGATAGTCAGCATTGAGGAGAAACTGTTAGCGAAGTTGCAGCTTCTTCTGTTAGCAAAGGGCATCTTCGATGACTTCTTCTTTTTCTTTCGTTCGCTTGAAATAGATTATCTATATCTGCAATGTTGTCTCTAGTATGAACTTTATCGTCTTTTGTCATTCACTAAGCGACCCGTAAACTTTGACTTGCACCGATGCTTCTCTTATTCAAAAGTTTTGCCTTGATATGTTGTAGTTGGGACAATCTTGAAAGACATGATCTATTCTCTCAGATGCCAATCCACATGCGCACATGGCTGATACGCCATGTATCGTATCGTTGACTACTAATGCGGCTGAGCACGTATGGGAACGTCCCAAGTGTAGTGATGCCAATTCTGGATTCCTTTATCTTTCATTCAGGAAATCTGACTCAATTTATAACAGTTTAAAACATGGCTGCTAGTACGCTTTTTGCTGGCCAGCTGCTGCTGTAGGCTCCTTCTCCAACTTCTCCTCCTCCACTCCTCCTCAACATCCTTCTTCTTCTTCTCCTACGTGTCTGAATTCGTATCATTGTTTTTCTTCGTTACCTTCTTCTTCTTCTTTCTCTTCTTCTTCTTTCCTGCTTCTTTCTTCGCTGTACCTTGGCCATTCCCGTGCATGCTCAGTCCTCTGATGTAGTAATCATCATCAGGTACAAACAACGCGTTATGCTGCTTATATCAAAGAAGTCATCTACAATACTACAACAGCGGAAACTCAAGACTAGGTTCTCACCTTTTGAACAGCGTAGAAATACCAACCCCCATGAAGAACATGATGAGAGCTCCCTGGAGACCAATGACGATACTTGTCACATGTATCTTTTGACCCATAATGATAGTAAACTGGCCAGGATCGTCTTTGTCTCGAACACCAAAGTACATATGGTTGAGAATCATACACGTCTGTAGAAGCGATAGGACAGTAGTCAAACGACGGACCTGCAGAAAGGAAAATCAATAAAACAGTGGCCAGTGAATTCAGAAAGCCAGCAAGGCTAAAAAAGCGGGCATCAAATGCAAGAACAACAAGAACAAGAACAAGCGACAAAGAATAGTTCAGAAAATAATAAAACGTAGCTGTCTAGAAACAATGTGACGTGTCCTCTTAGTATGTACATATTATGTCATACCTCACAGATTTTAACTGCACTATAAATTTATTCTCCTATCAGGAAACAGTGCGTGGCATTGGCTACATCTCTTCACGGTAGGACTCTCTTTCTAAAGCCTCAATGCAAACTGCGCGGTCTTTTAATACATAACCTCCTGCTACGTAAAATTAATGCAATTACTTTTAGGATTGTGGAATTTGACCTTTATTCAAAGAGACTGGCTGCCCTTACCCGCCTACCGATATCATGAAAGTGTCAAATGGAAGTGCCGGGTGTAGATATTACTGTTTCCACGAAAAGAGGGCAAAAAAAAAAAAAAAAATAGGTTTGATTAGAAATATCTGGGACGCTTTAATTATAAGCCCAAGCCCAAAACATAAGCGTTAGTTAAGGAATGCAGGCCGATATATGGAGAATGGTGACGATATTCCAGTAGAAAATAACTTGATTATATTTGAATAAATTACGAATTTCCTACAAGAATAAAAGTAAATTTTCGTAAAGTAAAAAAGACATCCAGTGAAAATAAATTACATTTTATTTTTAAATATCTAACTCATTATGATAATTACACACACACACACGCGCACGCACACACACACACACACACACGCACACGCACGCACACCCACGCACACGCACACACACACACACGCACGCACACACACACACACACACGCACACACACAAACGCACACACAAATATATATATAATTAAGCGTAAATACACTGTGATGGAAAAAGGTTGCTTCTGCCATATTCTTGTCATATATTCAAATTAGGAGCAGTTTAAAAACTGAAAGCAGAAATGCTGATTATACTCGAATTTATGAGAAAAGCATAATGATAATCTAGCCCACCAAACATGGGCAGCACCAGTCATCGCTTTTTTGCTGATGATAATTGTACAGGCAAAAGAACAATGAGCGGCCTTGTTACCGAAATAAAGACGTTACCATAATGCAGGGTGGGCCAGATTTTTTTTTCTCAAGTCCGCGGGAAAAATTTACAAATAAACTATCAGCCCGGTCAAGCGCCATACAAAGGAAAAATCCATTACAAACACAATACCATAAATTCATTTTTACTCAGTGTTTGTGTGGGATAATCTAAGATTATAATCATTCGCTCCACCCCTGACCATATATACCCACACACTATATCATTTAAAAGTCAAATGAGAAAGATGTGGTGATCTTTACAGATGGGTCCGTTATACGAGGACATAAGAGTGCATGGGCATTTACAGCTCACTCTTCAGACAGAACAGTTAAGGAAGCCATCGGTGCCTTCTCCATGACCACCAGCAGCATGTCGATAGAGGTGATGGCGGTCATGGTAGACATTAAAAGAAGGAATGGGTTACACATAAACCGACTGCCGAGGCCTTTGGCACGGGTAAGTCAGTCGGTGGCCCAAAGCCACAGTCAAAGAGAGCAAATACATGGAAATACAAAAGATAAAGGACGCCGAAAACTATACTCGAGTCAAAAATGCAGTCCATCAGTCGCAGCAAGGACAGTGGATAGGCTTTGATAGCGACTTGCCACGAAAGGCGACTGGCTCCGCTGCGGCTAAGCTATGGCGTAAGATCTGCGTACGATGTGTTACAGTCTGGCATCAATATAGTAAAGTGACATGCGGCTACCGACCCGACAAGACCACTGTGCAGAGCTAAGCAGACGCTCGAGCACATATTGGCCGCGTGCAGAAAAGCCCTAGGCCAGGTAAGATACACTTGGCGCCATAATAAAGTCCTAAAAGAGTTAGCGGCCATTGTGGACCAAGCCCAGATGTTGGCCAACGCGAGGGCCAGTTCTACAGTTACCCCCAAGCGCTTCCTCAAGGCTAGGACGATTTATAAAAAATTCAACAAGGTCGCATAAGCTTCATCAATACTTGACTGTGCAAGGGACTGGTTACTGGCTGTCGATCTGCCTGGTTGCGAGAGGTACCCAGAGTTAATCCAGAACACGGCCAGCTCCAGATTTAGCCCTACACTCTGATTGATCTGACCGTGCCGTTTGAGTCGCAAATAGACGAAAATCAAATGTACAACCTCGAGAAGTACAGTGATTTCGCGGCTGGTCTGAGGAGAGATGAAGAGTGCTGAAAGAGCTTCGAGCTTGCTCTAGACTCAACGGAACGTCGTGGAGGACAGGCCTCTGTTGTTTGGTCCGGGTCTCTAGTGGAAAAGAAAGTATTATTCCTTAAAAACCAACGATCTATAACAGAACAATAAGAAGAAGAGAAGGTTACGAGTAAAAAGAAGAAATAAAGAAGGAGAATGGGGGGGGGGGGGGGGGGATTAGCAAGAAAGGGAGGATAGGGAGGACGAGAAGAAAAACATGAAGAAGTAGAATAGGAGGAATATCACTACCAGCTGTGCCAGTAATCGTAAAAGTAACTGTTAACAAGCAAGCAACAAAAATAGCACGACTCACGGCGTATTTACCCTAGTAAACCTGTTGTAAGGTGTCTTAGCAACAATACCGAACCACAAATGTTCATTGCGAATGTCGTTGTGACCTTTGCTTTGGATCCGGAATTTCCATTTTGAAGCGTAGTACTTTTCCTATAGGATGACACCCAGATTTACGTTCATTAACAACGACAACAAACAATTGGTTTCCACAGGTGACCTCACTACACTACACACAGGTGACCCCACTACACTACACACAGTTACCTCACTATACTACACGCATGTTACCTCACTACACTACACACAGTTACCTCACTACACTACACGCATGTTACCTCACTACACTACACACAGATGACGTCACTACACAACACGCATGTTACCTTACTACACTACACACATGTTACCTCACTACACTACACACAGGTTAAATATTATTTAAAGAAGTAACGAAACAGAAGGCTGCGACATCTACACACACACACACACACACACACACACACACTATATATATATATATACATATATATATATATATATATATATATATATATATATATATATATATATATATATATATATATATATATATATAGTGGTAAAAGCAGAGCCAAACAAAGTAGCTAAAGGAGGAGGTTGTGTGAACTAATAATACCAGTGTACAACCTAATAAAATAACTGAGACAAACTTTTTGTCTGACCAAACCGGCCTTGAATGAAATGTAGTGACCTCGTCATTTTTTTCGTTGAGGTGACTGTTATAGGAATAAACTCCACAGGGGAGCATGTACAGCAGGGATCTACCAATCGTCAGTAGAAGTAATCTCTCGTCGACAAACGTTTCGGCCCACGAGCTCCTAGACGTTTTCAGAGAGTGGGCCCACCTGAGTTCATGAAGCTCAGGGTTGGTTTCCCTGCTGCACGAAATTACCGGATGGTGTCGGATAGGGATAAGACGACTCGGTGATTTGTAGAAGGTACTGTGAGATAAGAAGTCGTTGCGGTAGCATAATTAGAGCAGTCTGCATACCTGGACGACCGAGCGACAAGCTTACGATTGGTATACCGGACACATGTTGGACTTTTGTTAGCAGGTGCCAGAGGAACACTGGCAGACAACGCGGACACGATGGACTTTCAAAGGAATGAAAAAATCGTTTCCACTAGACACCCGGACCAGCTCACCGACGCCCGTCCCCTACGTTGTTCCGTTGCGTCCAAAGCCAGCTCGAGGCCCTATCAGCAACCTCGCCCAGCCGTTTAAGTGTCCGTTTCCGTTCATTACCGCGCAATCCTAGTTCTTTACCCACATTGTAGAGTGAAGTGGATACGAGACCTCTCGCTCCCACTTCGACGGCAAAGACAGTACTGTGTACGCTTCGTCTCTCCTCAGACCGGCTGCTAAATCACCGTATTTCTCGAGCTTATACATGTGATTTTCGTCCATACGCGACTCACACGGGACGGTCAGCTCAATCAGGATGAGCTGCCGTTTCTCCGCAGAGTGATATAGACAGATTCTCAAAATAGCATGCACCAGCAAAGAAATGCTGACATCCTAAAAAAATCAAAATATCAAGGAAATTTGAATATTTTTTATATTTCTTCATGAATTCCACTAACTCAGGTTTTTTGGTGCCCAAACCACTAACATTCCAGGTTCCGAATATCTCCTGCCTGTTTCTGAATTTTCGCTTGCTGCTGTCATTAGTTTGTTGATGGCGTTTGTTATTCTTCGCTTGCTATCGAAAACTGGTTTGTTCGTCGTTTGTGTAATGCGAGCGCTGCTTGAAGTGCGCTTTTTCTTTAAATTCCTCCATAATTCTTGAGCAGTTTGCCGTGAACAAATACAAATCCCATCCGGTTTGCTGGACCTGTCGCAGGATCATCCTTATTTGAACACACTGATGTTTAGAAACACACACAAAAACACCCATTTTCGTCCTACAGAATGTTAACCGACTTTCGCTTACTCCGCCATTTTTTGCACTTACCTAACCATACGAAATCGAATGAATAATGAAACTATTAGGCAAATTGTGGGATCCACACCTTGTACTAGATTCCTCGTGAAACAGCAGATCAATTGGTTTGGCTATTTCGATAGAATGCAGCAAGATCAAATACCATCACAAGTACTACATCTCAGAAGAACTACAAGAGCAAGACGACGGCAGCGAAAATATGGATCGACAACATTAAGGACACTCTACGCCTTCACGGCAAGACAATAGTCAGTGCTAGCCAACGTGCACTGGATCGCAAATTATTCCTCCCCACGGCGCTTAACAGCAGAAGTGGTTTATGATGATGATGATCAAGGAAATTTGGCTTGTAAACAGCATTGTCTCTCAGAAAAAAAATTTATCGTGATCATATCAAGCGCCACGATGGATTGTGGGAATTGTAATAGTAGAAGGCTAGTAATAGAAGCATAAATAGGCCAGAACGACAATGACCAAGGAGATAAGTAATCATGTCGTAGGAGTCAACCAATTGGGAGCTTACTTCAAAGTCGGAGTGCATCTGACCGAGCGGCAAGGAACAATCAACTGCACAAAATAAGCAAGTAAAACGGATGCACTCGCAAAACTCAGTCCTAGACATAAAGCCAAAATTCAAATGGAAGAACAACCAAGATTCTCCGCTGGATCTTACAGCAAGTGAACAAAAAAGAAAAAAAAAAAGACAAAGAGGGTTGAAAAGCGAACGAAGCGGTAGAGCCGGCAATAGACCAATTTTCTTTTAGGCGGACCGTGATGAGAGCGAGTTTTTTTTTTTTTTTTTTTGTCTTTTTCTGAAAAGGACCTACTTCGTCATAATGATGATGAATAAAACAAAAATAGATCTTAGACAGAAAAAAGAAAAACATGTATGCACAATGACATCTCTTTTGCGGTTTACACTGAACCACTTAAATATACTGCACATTGCGTGATATGTTGTACCTTATATGCAGGAACTTCCGCCCGAAGCTGTCCTCTACCATGGCGCAACCCGATCCATCCATAATATGGACACAACCAGATTTCATTTGTTTGCATATTCTGTACATAAATGGAGCTCAAGTACCTGCACGTGAATTATATATATATATATATATATATATATATATATATATATATATATATATATATATATATATGGTTATTCAAAATGGTGATAAACTTTTATCTATGTATATAAAATACAAACAAGAAAGAGAGAGAAACAAAGGTCTCAAGTGTACAAATTTACTATAGAGGTTAAAGACGTTCAATATGGCCTGTGTCTGCTGCTCGGCAAACATGAAGGCGGCATACGAACTCATCCCACACTAGGAACTTAACTGAAGGGTCCTTGGTGGAAGGAGCATGCGCACTTGAGTGGCTGGTTACGCAGCTGCGTTCTAGGGATAGTGTTCGAAACCTAAGACCCTTTCCTCTCGCCTATATGTAGATTAATTATAAATAAGTTATTATTGTATATATGAATGAATGTGTATTATTATTAATTATGAATTGCTCTTTGTGTTTGTGCTTGAAATCAAACACAATAGCCGAGTAAACAGAAAGTTTCACCATAATCATACTTTTTAAATGTGTATGTGGCCGCTGTAAACAATGAAAAGAAAACATGAGAGCCCAAAGAAACTAAGACATTTGGTGAAGTGATTGATAAATCTAGTTTCTATCTGGATGAAACGTGAACAGAACAGATATCAGTCATAACCACTGAAATGGCCGCTTCTTAAAGTCCATTCTGTTTGGCGCTGGTAGTCATATCTTTCCACAACCTTCTGTCTTTTGTACTTTTATTCAGTTCCGATAAGCTTATCCTATATGCAACGATGTCAAACTGGTCCGCATGTTTTTCTCGGTCTCCCTTTGCCTCTTCTCTCCTCAAGCTTTCCTGCTGTCACGATGAACTCTAATTTTCTCTGTCTCATCACATGACTAAACAATGTAGATTGTCCCTCTCTGATGTGGGCAATCGTGAGTCAGCATTGGTTCATTTGGTGGATTAGTGAAGTACGCTGATGTTGTGGTAGACCTCGAGTTCGAAGTCAAGTTAGGAGCAGTTACCAGCTTTTAGTGGGGACAACAAGTCGAGATACCTTAGGATCAGGGTGCATGATATAATGTATTTTTTTTTATTCATGTGGCCTCTACTATGCCACTGAGGGTACTGTTCAGTTGACAAGCGGTAGCGTCAAAAGTTATATTTGGGAGGGGATGCGGGGTGAGGGTGGCAGAGGGGTGCTATGAGCCTCCAAGATCAGTTCTTTTTATGGTTGACTCTACGGCACCGATGGTGTGTTACAGTATATGAGGGGGACGCTGGCTGCGTCAGGCACATTTGTGAGATGATGGAACTGGTAACAGAAATTGTGCATTTTCATTTTCTCTGTTCTCTGCATTTTCGGAAACGAAAATAGTATATGGGTTTTCGTGGGTCAAATATGTAGGGCGGTGAAACGGTCCAGTGGGGAATGACTAAACATACGGCGTCGGTAGAGACAAAGATAAAATATAAGACGGAAGATGTACGATCTTCCTTCTCTATCCATCGCAATTTCATTTAGACTGGAGCTAAAATAAAAAAATAAAATGGTAACGGTCCCGATATGGGATGTAATTGTTCGTTATTTTAAAGCCGGACTCCAGGCGTTGTCGGGGCCCTGATATAACCCAGCTATGCATTGAACAGGGTTTTTGGGCCCTGTCCCCGGGTGATCCTCATACGAATGGTGGCACTTTGTGTCACCGAGTGTTTATCGCACTGTGTGATGTCCTAGTGGGGTTGAACGTGAATCAGTCATATTGAAGCTCAGACTGTTATCAGATTAATACAGTTCTCTGGTTATTACATTCACCTAACACGCGTTAAAGATCCTGGGTTTAAACCCTTGTATAACTTTTTTTATTATAAATATATGTTTAAATATAGTACATTCACAGTAATCATGTTCCCATAACTTTCCGTGTGCATGTTCAAAGTATTAGAACTTGAAGAAAAAGTAGTAACGGTGTGTTTACAGGTAATATAGCCTTGAGTTGGAATTGTTAGCCTGAGCCACGGCCCGGGGGTGGGGGTGGTGTGGTAGTTGGCGCTACTGCCCTTTGTGACTGCTATGGTAGTTAATGAATGGTAGCTTCGTAGCTCAAACCTTTGGAACACTAGAACGGCTCCGGGGGTGGCAAATGTTAAATTTCACAGTTCTTGACACGTTCTACAACGTGTGGTCTATATATTTAGATAGACTTGTAGAGGGGTCAGTAGCTTCCTGTCATATTTAGGAGCAACAGTCCGAATGGTAGGCTGGAGTCACAGATTTTTGCCTCCTAGAGCAATGTAGCGTATGGTGGACTCTACCGCAGTTAAGAGTGTGGTAGCTTGGTCGGTTAAATCTGTGGGACTGTAAATGTAAGTGGTCATGTTCTACTTCGCATCTCGATATCATAAACTGTTCTGAATAAGTGGTATTGAAAATAATATATGTGAACAAATCGAGTATCAAAGCGAGGTAAAAGTGGACTTTGTGCAGTTTGGCCAATTGCAAGTTAAGCGAGGAAAACATGAATGCTTGAGAACAGTCTGGAAGTTCAATTGGAGAGGAAAATGTTTTTTAAGCTGTGAGAGAAAAGGATAGGGCAGTCTTGTTTTCAATGATCCATGTTACCTTTGGCCAATATTTAAATACAATGGAAGACATAGCAAACGCCTCAACATATTGCATATCTCTAAACCTAGAATAGACCTAAACAAAACAAGCTTAGCGTACTCTGCAGCTCAGCTGTGGAATAACCTTCCGCCGGAAATAAAAAATATCAATAACCCCTATAGATACAATCGGAAACTATTCGAATAGTATCTCACTACAGACTATATGCCCCTTAAAAGATTAAAGTATGTTAAGGCTATGATGAATTTCCATGCGATGTCTTGATATTTTTTTTTTTCCTTTAAACTAAAGGTTATTATTATTATTGTTTAAAACTGAAGATGCCAGTCGAATGCATTCCAGTGTTTGTAACTAATACCTAATTGGTTTTGATGATGTTTATATTATGCAACCTGTAAGACTTCCATCATTTTTTGGAATAGGCTTGTTATTATACTCTTTAAAACGTTCAAGTAATGTCAGTATAAATTAGAACACATTCCAGCATGTGTAATAAAGACTTAGATATTGTACATTTGTTTTTCTATGTTTCTTAAAGTTTTAATTTTGCATTCCTCTTTTTATTATTATTATTATTATTATTATTATTATTATTATTATTATTATTATTATTATTATTATTATTATTATTATTATTAATATTATTGTTATTATTATTAACTATGAAATGAGGTACAAATAAAAAATTGTATGAAAGGAGCGGAGTGGAAGGGCAGAATGTTAGACGGGCCTGCGTGCCCAATTCTTAACTCTTTGAAAAAAAAGTTTGTTCGTTCATTCGTTCGTTCGTTCGTTCTGGTCTTGTGGCAGCTCGAAACACAAAATGGTTTCTCTCTCTCAGCGACCGTGCACTCTGTGGCTGCATCATCAGAGGATTCCGCATATGTAGCTGTGCCCAATGTGCATCGACGTGTTTTTCGATATTTTGACGAGTGTGTTTACTCACTTTAAAAAAACGTAATTTAAACAACAACATAAACTCGCATATCATAGATGACAGGAGCAGTGACTAGTGATATACGGCAACTAAAACTGTCCCATGTAAGACACACACATACCAGGACGGGTGAGGTCCAGAGAAATCAGTCCAGACAACAACAGAGATGAGATCTCCAATGTCGTGACGTGTTGTCAACATAAACCAGTTCTCTGCACCAGCCTGGATAGAACAGCATTTAGGATCAGTTAAAAGTCAGCAGGCCTCACAAAAGTTAAACATTTTCCAGACCGTTTAAATAAAGTCTTATTCAACGTTTCTACTTACTGCCTTCGGACTACACCACATTTGCTCAGTTCCTGTACCAGTGAAAATGAAATCCAATGTTCCTTACTGTCCGTTTGAAAAAAATTGTGAAAAAACAATTACTCCGGACACAGTCCAAAATAATGCACATGCATAAAGCAGTTGCTAGAGGCGCTAAAGCCAATAGTCGCTACCAGAAATGCAGTGCGTTTGTGATGGAAGTATTCGATGACGTTTGTCAGCCCACATATAAACCGGCTACCAACCACATTTAATACCAAGACACAACTTTTGTACAGAAAAATGGCCATCCACATGAAAAATCATAGCTAACAGTGCTGAACCAAGCAATGATATCAGTAGCTTGAGCAGCGAAACCTCTGATTTATATTAAGTGTGAAAACTGCATAAGCAATGCGCTGACAGAATAAAATAGGAAGAAAAAAAAAAAAACCTTGAAGTTAAACATTATACCGCGCCTTGTCGTCCATATTAAGCACTGGCTATGCTATGTGTTTGTGTGTGTTTTTAAAAAATCATGGCCGTTTCAGAACACGTGCTTCAAATACTCGTCTTCTTTACTTGCCTTTCCTCCTCCTCTTTTCTTCTTCTACGACTATTACTAATTTTTCTTGTTCTTCTTTTTCTTCTTCTTCCTCTCCTTTTTCCTTTTCTTTTTCTTCTTTTCGTACTTCCCCAAACCCCTTTTTTTTTACTTCTTCATTGTCTTCTTCCTCCCTCCTCATTCTCGTCCTTCTCCCTTCTTCTGCTTTTTTTTCCTTGTTCTTGTTCTTTTTCTTCTTCTTCTTCTTTTTCACTTTCTTCTTCTTCTTCTTCTTCTTCTTCTTCTTCTTCTTCTTCTTCTTCTTCTTCTTCTTCTTCTTCTTCTTCTTCTTCTTCTTCTTCTTCTTCTTCTTCTTCTTCTTCTTCTTCTTTTCCTCTCTCTTCTGTTTCTTTATATGCTTTTTTTTATTTGTCTTCCTCCTCTTCTTGAACCTCTTCTTTCTGTAATTTTTTCTTTTCTGCTACTTCCCCTTCATGTGGCTTTTTTTTTTAATCATCGTCATCGTCACAATAACTTAATCTAAGCGTTAGCGTTCACCACATCCTTAGAGATAAACATGTGGAATATGTTGTCACTAACTGTGATACACTGAAACAATCGTCTAGTCTGCTACACACAAACATAGTAGAATAGGAACCCACTATACCTCAAACAGTCGACGTAATGGATCCCGCAGGACATGACTTTCACTGATATTCCAAGAGCCATTTAGGTAAATATACACGTTTGAGGAAGTGGCTGATGACCCTGACCATCCAGTGACGACACAGACCAGGTATAGGTAATTATAGAAAGGACTGTTGTCTTCCAGCACAGTCACACCTGTCTGAAAGGAATTAGAAAACTGTTTGTTTGGGATAATTTCTATAATGTTCTAGAATTCTAAAGAATGATTATCATGCCTTTACATATCAACCTAGCCCCTGGTTTAGGGACTAGATCAGGCGTGGGCAAAATATGGCTCGTAGGCCACAACCGGCACGAGGAGTAAGTTGCACTGACCCCAAGGATGGTGTTAAATTATTGTATAATCTGACCCTTAAGCGCACAAATAGCAGAAAGAAAAAAAACCCAGCTTAATCAGACACATTTAGGAATACACAGAAGATTTCAGCGTGTAAGTGTACCTTGCCAGAAGCGTAGCGAGGGAAAATTATCTGAGATTATACCACAAAAATTATCTTAGTAATAGAAAATCTGGGTTTGATGTTTATAATGGACTTCCCAAATCCCCCTTTCCATTTCGCCTGTGCGGAGATATGGTTTTATGGACGAATGGTAAGAATACCCTGGACAGATGCACCGGGGGGTGAAGAGGTTTTGAAAGAAACTGACCACGAAGACAACTGATTGTCAACATCAGAAAGAGACAATCTACATTCGTTGGTCATGTGATAAGAATGAAAACACTGGAGTACATCATGACGGTAGGAAAGTAGGAGGGGAGGAGAGGCAGAGGGAGACCGAGAGAAAATACGATTGGCAGTATGACATCATGGCATGAAGGATCATCTGTGTCAGCGTTGATTGAAAGTACACTAGACAGAAGGTTGTGGATAGATATGAATACCAACGCCACACGGCATGGACTTTAAGAAGATGGTCCGGGACCAGGCTTTTAACATTTTTGACCATCGACCAAACTAGGTTATCAAATTCTGGGCTGGATTCTTGAATCCGAATCCGAACGTAGAGGATTCTAATCCTCATTAGGCTGAATTTTTGGGGTTCTCTGTGGTCTCGAGGTATGGTGTCTGCCTCGAGTGCTAGAGGTTCTTCGTTCACTGCCGGGCCAGGGCTGGGATTTGTTCATGCGGACTGGGACTTCTAGTAATCCCCCACGTCTCTGGGTAGTGAGATCGGACGCCCGTGTGTATTGTTGCGCACGTAAAAAAATCCCTTGGCAGTTTGAAATCGAAAAGAGTAGCCACTCTCTCCTGCTTGGGCAAAACATTTCGAGTTAAAAATCTACCCAAAGTATTTCAGGATCCTTGCCGGTGCTATAGAGCATGTGCACTGTGCTGAGCTTGTTTTGACTCAGAATTTAGTGTGCCATGATGTTGATCCGTTGTTCAAACCTCAAACATTTTTTTAAACATGACCTAGACTCCCGGGTCAATCCATTCTTAAATATGCACAAGGTAAATCCTAGGAAGTAAAGATGGCCCTCGTGATACTGACCACATAACCCACGGGTGCGAATGGTCTATAAAAAAATGGTCAAGCACAATATTCCCAATAATGTCACTGTTTATTTTGCACGGGCGTACACAGGGAGCTCAAGGGGGTAAACCCATCCGCGACATGATTGCGCCTCGGGGTCAACAACAAACGGCTGTGCAATGAAAATCATGACTGTAACAAGATCATTGATATGATTTAGTACTTAAGAACACACCCAATAATTATGATAGAGATTCAGGCTAGCTTTGTCGAACGAAATAAAATACCCCATTAAAGACATCGCCTGACGTTCACCTTGTGGATATTTCGGAGTTCTAGACAATAAGCGTGCAGTTTATTTGGCTGATACCGTAGTGCATGCGAGTGGTATTGCAATGAACATAACCACTGACATCAAAACCATTCGGGATACATATCGAGATGTATATTTGTACCTTGGATACGACGTCTTTCTTGACTGTGTGTAAGATGTGAGGAATAGACGAAGATGTATAAAATAGCACAAAATGTGTCACTGCACGTTTTCAACATTACTTTATTAAAGCATGGCGACATTTAGTGATCGATGGGTCACAAATTTCTGGGAACCTATGCGATAAATGTGCTACACTTTAAGCCCTTACAGCTTTCCTAGTAAATCGTATCCTGTAAAATAGGATAGTACACGAAATAGGGAAAAGGGTGGGAAATCTTTTTTTTTTTTTTGGGGGGGGGGAGGGGGTGGGGGGCATTATTTTTTACAGCAGTATTTAAAAAGCATGCATTCAGATTTTCGGTCTCTAGTAATTCTGATGTCTTGTTACCAGAGCTAGAATAAATATCATTTTCCAGTTAAATATCCAAATTACTAACCACAGATACACGCTCTAGCATATTTACCTCTTTTATATCTTCCCTGTCTCTCCTGCTACCCCATGAAACCAGAGCAATGTAAAGAAGCCAAACTACGATCACCAGTGAAACCTGTAGCAACAGTGGAATAAGGAAATTCTTACCTTGCATTTACCTGCTGTTGTAACTTAAAAAGTAAAGCGATCACATATTGTATACAATGAAATACAAAGTGAGATATCATTTTGCTTTTCTGGCTGCCTTTTCTTCAAAGTCATAATGTATTAGTTTTTAGACATACACTTCTAACAGTACTACAATGACCCTAGGGCGGTACAAGTCGAGGTACTTTTCTTTTACATCACCTCATCAAGGGGACTCCAAGAATATTAGCAATTCATGTGAAGGTCATTTATTATTGAAGTGGGATGGTGGAGTGAGGGTTACTATTAATTGGTGTTAATTTCACGCACTAACACCCATACACTATTGGACTTTGCCGGAAACTCCATATTAAATCTCGGACTCCCTGAGATGGGGTTAATTAAAACAAAATAACTCACTCGGAACATGCAACTAGGAGGCGAGATAAATCAGCCATTATGAGAGCAAAACGTTGCTGCTGTTACTACTTCGTTGTATATTTAAAAAACAAAAACAAAAAGTTGTGCTTGTAAGACCTGGGCACTTAGGGGAAGCAACAAATTGTAACACTGCATTTTTGTAAGTGTTTCTTTACAGACGACCAAGGCTAGGGTTGGTCTTTGCTTCAACAACTGGTTAACTTTGAACATGCCGAATCGGTAAACATCTTAAACAAAAATAATGAGAACTTAAAGATAAGTATTAGTCTATATGCCAGTGGTAAATAGAGGCCCAAAGAACAACAGGACAGACAATTCTCCCGTCCTATGTGCTTTCTTAGCAATTCTTCTTCAATGTCCTTTATCCACCATAGCAGAGGCGACCTCTGAATCATTTTCCGGAAACTACTTGTACTACTTTCTCTTCAGGCCGCTAGGACGCTTAACATTGTCAAAATACCTCACTTTTCGAAAAAGGATGTTGTTTACGAGCCAAATCTCCTTGATGTTCGGATCATGTAGGGTGCCGGTGTTGTTCTTCTTCTTGGTCAATGGTATTCTAAGAACTTGTATGTAACATTTCAGATGAAAAGTTCCGTTCTTAATTTACCGAACGGCTTACATCCAAAAGTTGCCACGGCAAAGATTACGGCTACCATTTAGCGTTTCTACCGTTATATAATTTAGATATTTAATTATATTCATCTTTAGAAATGTGAACTGCTAACAAGAATATACGAAAATCAATTCTTCGTTTGTCGTCACAATGTTATCAAGTTATTTTCTTTCTCAATAGCGAAGGTTTATGTCTTTGTCATGCTTATTGAGTTTCTTGAATAACTGATTTTTTACTTTGTTTCACAGCATTCACTTGCAATGTATGTCCATCCTGCCACCGGCTTCCCTCCAGATTTATGTCTGAATATATGTTGTACAAGGTCTTATATACAGACTGGTCTCACTAAATAGTCACACCAATTAAATCTATATTTTCCAAAGTAACTCAGCAATGCCTTCTCTCTAATTCTGGTATTTGCGACTTTGAGCACCCTTGTGTTGTTAGGGACTTTTGGACTCTGCATTTCAAATGCAGCTTTTTCATATTCATATACTCTATTCGTCGTCCGTGTTTGGCACTGATATACAAGAAAAGGAATGATGATGCAATAGTTGATTTGCTGATTATATAGAAAGGAAACAGCTGGGTGTTCTGAGCAATAGGGCTCAGCGTGACAATGAACAACCCTCCCCCCCCCCTCCCCCACAAGATCGTATTTGAGCAAGGCCGATACTGCACCCAATTTGACCGAGAGATGTTTTCAAACGGTACACTTATAACCGATGAAAAAGGCAGAGCCTCCGTCGCAAAATTATACCGATTCGTGGACCAGGTGGAAGAAGCCTGTGAACGGATAAAGGCGACCAAAAGAAATCAAATGATGCAGGGAACACCAAACAGACGCCGCCAATATTAAACCAGATGAACCGCCCACAAACAACCCGGCAGATGGACCAGCCCGACCGCAGAATCAAGAAGCCATTAGCCAACCAAAACTGACCTAAGCCGCCATGACACCGACCAAACCCAGCTCACTGGACTGGAAAACTCACCCGCGCAAGACCAACCAGGTATTACCAGAACCTGACAACAGAGGCCAGACCCCGCCCATTCCGTCCCAGGCCACCCAGGCACATATGGCTGTCCTTCTCAGAACTGCCATGTCCACTCCCAAAACTGCAAGCCGCCCGCCAAGCCCACGCTGCTAACAAGTTGCAACCAAGGAAAGAAAACTCAGGCGAAAACCATCGCCACAAAAGTAAAAAATCCAGCTCAGATAGCAAATGACTCGTCCGTTAACCTTTTGGCTCGGTTCTATTGATATCGCAACCCTTTGGCCTTGATTCCATGATAAATACCATACATCTGGGAGAAATGTGGCTGTTCTGCCTACCCCTGGACATGAACCCGGACATTTTACTGTTTACTTACCACAAGAGGATTGTTGAAGATTTGCCCGAACAGACTAACATCAAGTGGATTAATTAATCTTGGCAGAACTAGAACACTACCTGTGTACGCGGCAGCAACTATGCACCGACAGTGCAAAGTGCTGAGGTCAGAGAACATCGACATCTGTAGAAAAGTAAACAAAACAATGATTTAAAAGCTTGCATTTTGCCCTCATTAAACTATCCTATAATTTCTCTATAAAACAATACTGATTTT